CCTCGTGTATCTTTGCGCGAAATTCAAAAACAAACAAACAAACTTGAGTAACATAATGTATAACTGGAATAAACACGACAGTATTGAATGTATTCACATTATTATAAATCTCTTTTTTTTCTCACTCGCTTCGAGTCTCGTGGAGAGACAGTGGTAAGTTTACGGACTTAGAACGCTAAAACCCGGTGTTCGATCCCCCGCGGTGAACAAAGCAGGTAGGTAAATGTGGTTTTGCTCTAAAACAAACAAACAAACAGTGCCATCGAAATGTTATATTCTTCTATAGCATAATTTTGTGGTGGAAGAATAAATTTGAAATGTCAACAAATAATTAAGTGTTCAAATCATTGTAATTCAATTAAGATTGCAAATATTTCAGATATACATCTGTTTCATACCTGAGTTCCTGTAGTGTTCGAGAGTCCAAATATTTCAGGGCTAAGCCTCGCATGTCCAGTTCTACCAGTCGCTCTAAACCGCTGAAACTCACAGTACCCAAAATTTCAATTGGATTATGAGAAATGTCTAAAGAATGTAGGTTTACCACGTGAGCCCACAAGTGGCATGGAACTTCTTCTATCAGATTATAAGAAATATCTAGGCGTCGCAACTGTCGCAAGTGACGAAACGCAAGTCCAGAAATATTTCTCAGCAGGTTGTTTGCGAGTGTCAAGGTGTTTAGTCGTGAAAAAGGAAGACAAAGCAATTGAGATAAATTTGTATTTTTTAGGTTCAATGATCGTAATGACTTCAATGAATAAAGAAGTCCATCATTAAACTTCGGCAAAGGATTATGGGATAAATCGAGTTTAATGAGTTGCGTAAGATTCTCTACACTTAGGCTTAGCAACTGATTGGAGGACAAGTTTAAAAAATTTAACTTATAAAGATGATTAATTACATCACTTCGGATTATATGAATATGATTGGCCGAAACGTCAATAAACCTCAGAGTGAATTTAACAGGAAAGAAGCTTTTAAAAGGTGGATGGACAAATATATTATGAGAAAGATTTATCCTTTCCAATTTTGTTCCAACAAAGGCACTTTCTGGCAGTGTCGCTATTCTATTGTAGCTCAGATCCACGATTCTAATTTCTTCTAAAGATGTGAAGGCCTCTGAGGAGATGGTAGAAATGTTATTATAACTCAGATTTAAAATCTGGATTGGAGGTTTGCCTTGAAAGTCTGTAGAGCTAACAAATGCGATACTATTGTGGTCTAATTGCAATATTTGAAGATTTGTAGCTTCGGTGGAGACAGTCGAAGGAATGACAGTCAGTTTATTGAAAGACAGAAATAAACGATGGAACGAATTCCCTAAAAAGTCGAAAAAACCCTTTGGAATTAACGATATGTTGTTGTGGCTCAAATCTAACGTTTGCATATGAAGAACACCATCGACATCTTTGTCTCTCGGAAACTTGTCCAATCTGCTAATACGATTATTTGAAGCATTTAAATGCATTGGAAAATCGGAATTGCTTACATTGCTAAACATATTAAACGAAAATCTTGATAACTTATTAAACTGTAGAAACACACTTGTTAAACTTGTTAAGTTATGAAAAGCCGAAGGTTCTACTATACGAAGTCGATTGTGTGATAACACAATGGCATTCAGCATGGGACAACTTGTGAAAGATTTGTGTCGAAGAATGTCAAGTCTGTTTCCCAAAAGTACGACATTCCTGAGCCTAGGAAGTTCATTAAATGTTTTTGGTTCAGTTGCTTGTACTTCATTATGAGACAGAATTATATTAGTTAGATTAATGTGCACTTCTTTTCTGAATAAGTTTTGTGGAATCAACATAACATTGTTTCCTTCCAAATCGCAATGAACCATGTTGATTTGGTCTAACAGAAACGTTGAAGACAACTTAAAAATCTTGTTGTGGTCCATTTGAAACCATTCTAACTTATTTAGATATTTCACTATCATTTCATGAGAACCATCATAGTATTCAAACAAAGATCCCAGCTCCACAGATTTTAATGAGTCCCTCAGAGGAAACAAAATATTTGAATCTACATTGAAGAAACTGTTGTAAGAAAGTTTTAAGTCTTTTAGTTTTGGCATGTAAAGAAAAGCCTTTTCCGAGATGTATCTAATACCATTATTAGCTAAATTAAGATATAATAAAGTACTACTCCAACCATAAAAATCTCTTGCATGTACTTTTTTGATCTGATTATCTTGTAAACTCAAACGAAGAAGCCGCTTGGAAGTCACTAGAGCTTCTCTTGGTACACTTTTCAGGAGGTTTCTGGAAAGATCTAACACTTCTAAGTTTTCTCGACATGTATACAAATCGTACTTCTCTAGATATGAAAGCTGATTTCCTCGCATAAAAAGCTGTTGAAGCTGATTTAGTTCTTTTAATGCCTTTGGAAAAGATTTCAATATATTGAAACTCAAATCTAAGGTAGTCAAGGTCGCTTCTAAACCTTCAAAGGCCCCAACTGGTATGGAAGACAATCGGTTGTTAGCTAAAGATAGCTTTTGGAGATCAAGACCTCGAAATGCTTTTACTGACAGTATTCTCAGGTAGTTATAGCTCAGACTCAGCTTGAGTACTGAAAAAGAACCGTTTAAAACGTTGCTTTCTAATTTTGTCAAAACATTATGACTAAAATCTAATTCCTCTAGATGGCGTGTTGATAACTTCCAGTTATTTGGAAGAGATGGAAACAGATTACCACCAAGATTTAACTTTTTTAAATATCTGAGATTAGAGAGAGCATCTGGGGGGATCCAGTCCAGAAGATTGTCAGATAAAGACAGCGTGGTCAAGGAGTCTGGAAAAGGGTGGCCCTCTAGCTTGCTAATGTGGTTGTTTGTAAGATCTAAAGACGTGACGTTCCAAAGACTTCTAAACAAACCATCTTCTATAAATGATACATGATTGCTGCTTAAGAGAATACTGGAGAGTGTTGAACGTGACCAGAGTTTTTCAAAAGCACCACGCCTTAACTCCTCCAGTTTATTGGAATGTAAGTTTAACCACTGGAGATAAGATAATTTTCTTAAAGCTTTAGCTGGAAAACTGTTAATGTGATTGTAACTCAGATCTAAAGAGGTCATCAGATGCTCAGATCTGTGAAATGCGTGAAGTGGAAGAGTCACTAAATTGTTGTACATCAGTCTGAGAGAAGACACTGCTGTGCCATCTAGCGAATCATTGTATAATACTGGAAGACCAGTTCTCGCAAAAGTCAGTTGGTAGACTTCCTTAAACGGAATCTTTGGAAAATTCAAAAATGGTACACTCACACAGCTAGTTTCTTGTTGTCTAGTATCACACGTGCACAAAGGATTGAAGCTACACGGCATAGGAAGCGCAGAGGAGTGATCCAAGAACCCAAACAAAACACCAACAAGTTTCCACACGAGAAGCGCCATCTAGGAGAATAAAAAACAAACTATAATATATTAAGTATATATATATATATATATATTAAGCACTTTTGCAGGGCACGTTTAATCTATAATAATTTCTGAACAGTCAATCAAACTTCCTAAACTGATAGAGAGTAAAAAAGCATGTTAATAAACACAGCCTTCCGGCTTGTTTTTCTATAGATGTTAACTGGACCTTCTGTACGTTACTGCAACTTTCACTAATGGTCAATTATAGGAGTAACACAGCTGCAGTGTAATAAAATATGAAAATACAAAAAAAAAGGTTAAAACTGCTATAAGGAAAAAAAATAATGTAGAGTCAATGTTTCTTCCAAAAGACTTTCATGTAGAAGAAACTGCTATTTTTGGAAATACATTAATCGTCCACACTGTTGTTATGATAATTATTGTTTGTTACGCAGTCATTCGTAAAATAAATTGTTAAATAAAACTGTGTCTGGTTGGTATTCAAAAGAGAGAATATTTGGAGGAAAGAATGTGGGGCCCGGCATGGCCTGGTGGTTAGGGCGCTCGACTCACAATCTACGGATCTTAGGTTCGAACCCCTGTAGCAGAACATGACTGTTCATTCAGCTTTGAAGGAGGCCTGGCATGGCCAGGTGGTTA